CAGGGCCGTTTTTTCACCGTTTCAAGAAAAATGTCCCTTGAAAATGGAAACGGCAAAAAAACGGCGACCGGAAACGGCAAAAAAACTGCTCCAGGATTGGAACCGGAGCCGGAACCGGTCAAAAGACGTCGACGGAACCGGTAACAAAAACGGCATCGGAACCGGCAAAAAACGGCAAAACGGAACCGGTAAAAAAACGGCCCTGTCGTTTCCAGGGCCCACTCAGCTGACGTGTACCTCCTGGCCTCCCCCCAGTGCCTCAAGACTACCTGGACGATCACCGCTTGAGCCAGTGCTCCGTGTGCCAGCGTTTCTTGTCCACTCGCTACAACGGCATCTGCCCCCGCTGCCGCCCCGCCGCCCGGGCAGCGGCCGCGGGAACCGCCCCGGCCGTTGACGACGCTGTGCCGCGACCTCCGGGACTCCCTTCCTTGGAGGAGGTTTTCGCCAGACGCGCGGGCACCAAGCGGTACGTGCCCAAGGGCGCTCGCACGCTGTGGGCGCGGTGCCTGGTCCAGGCGACGGCGCTCGCCACCCACGCCAACAACGAGGCTGCTTGGATCCAACTGGCCATGCTACCGAAGTGCGTGCTCCGGCCGCACGCCCGCGGCGGCCGCAACAGCAGGAACGCCGCGGAGGCGGAAACGAAAGAGCTTTGCAGACGGTGGTTAGAGGGCGAGCGAGCGTCACTATGGGCCGAGACAACAGAGCGACGCGAGGCGAGGAAGCAACATTCCGAGGACGAGGCCGCGGGGCGCGCCCAAAGGTGCCTAGAACTGGCGGCCGACGCCCAGTACTCGAAGAGTTGTGCCGCTCTTGTGAGCGAGCCGCCCGTCGACGTCACTCCAGAGGTCGTCGACCAAATGCGCCGCAAGCACCCTCTCAGCAGCCGGGCAGTAGACTTCTCCAGTTTGCCCCAGGTGCACGCCGCGGCGGCCCTGCAGGGGGACGCGGCCGCTGTGGAGCGGGAGATCAAGGCATTCCCTCGCGGGTCCGCGGCGGGGCCGACTGGCCTGCGACCGCAGCACCTCAAGGACGCCCTGCAGACGACGGCCCACAAGGACGAGGTCCTGGAGCAGCTCCTCAGCCTGACCAACCTGCTTGCCCGGGGCCAGGCGCCCCCAGCCACCGCGAAGTTCTTCGCCGGGGCCTCGCTGGCGGCCCTCCCGAAGAAAGACGGCGGCCTGCGGCCCGTCGCCGTGGGCGAGACCCTGCGCCGCCTGGTGGGCAAGTGCCTCTGCGGCGAGGTGTCAGACGCGGCGCGTGGCAGGCTTGCGCCTCTGCAGCTGGGGGTGGCGGTGCCCGGGGGCGCAGAGGCCGCGGTCCACGTCGCGCGGCAGTGGTGGAGCAGGAACCAGGGGGATCGCCAGAAGGTGTTCGTGAAACTCGACCTGTCGAATGCCTTCAACACGCTTGACAGGCAGGCAGTCCTGCAAGCCGTTCACGAAGACTTCCCTGGTCTAGCCCCCTTTGTGGACTGGTGCTACGGCGCCCCGAGCTCACTGTTCCTGGGGAAGAGAACTCGGCCGCTGTCCTCCGAGCGCGGCGTTCAACAAGGCGACCCGCTCGGCCCGCTACTCTTCGCGCTCGCACTGCAACGCTGCGTGGAGCAGGCGCGCGCTGAGCAGGCCGACCCTGCCGTCGGCTCCCTGGACTTGGTGTTCTTCTACCTCGACGACGGCTGCCTGGCCGGAGACGCGCCCGCAGTAGCCCGCCTTATGCACCACTTGGTGAGGCGTTTAACCGCAGTTGGACTGGACCTCAGCACTGGGCCAGGCAAGTGCGAGGTGGTACCTGCCAGCGGCGCGGACAGCAGCGTGGATTTGAACTTGTTCCCGCCAGGCTTCCGTCTCAGGGAAGACAACAGCTTCGAACTCTTGGGGGCCCCCGTGGGGGACGACAACTTCTGCGCGGAACACACCAGGACAAGAGTGGCCAAGGCTGCTGACCTGCTGGAGGCTCTCGGGGCTTTGGAAAACGCCCAAGTTGCCTTGTTTTTGCTCCGCCAGTGCGCCTCCTACTGCAAGCTGGGCTACTCCGCGCGCGTGGTTCCGCCGACGGCGCAGACTGGCGCGTTGCAGACCATGGACTCCGCCGTCCGGGCTTGTCTGGAGCAGCTCAGTGGATGTTCCCCCTTGGACGACTCTTGGAAGCAAGCGCAGCTCCAGCTCAACCGAGGCGGGCTCGGGCTCCGCTCCGCCGAGAAGCACTCAGCGGCCGCCTACTTAGCCTCGCGCGCCCGCAGCGCGGAACTCTGCCGACAGCTCTACGGAGCCTACAACGACGCCGACGGCGGAGACGGAGGCAGCCTGGCGGCAGCCACGCAGGCTTACAATCACACTGTCCTTCCAGCAGACCAAATCGCCTTCGACCCCGCCCAGCACGGAGACCAGCGGCTCCTCTCTGGAAAGGTGGACGACGCTGTCCGCCACGACCTCTGGCAACGCGCCTCGCAGGCGACGAGGGCCCACCTTAACTTGGTGGCGGCCCCAGGCGCTGGAGCCTACTTGCAGGCGCCGCCGTGCCGGGCGCTCGGCACCGACTTTCCGCACAGCTTGATGCAAGTTGCGCTGCAGCGACGCCTTCGACACCAGCTGCTCGAAGAAGAGGCGTTTTGCCCGGCGTGCGGGGAGGTGATGGATGTGTTCGCAGACCACGCGCTCACCTGCAGCTGCCGCGGTGACCGCACGAAGCGCCACAACTGCCTCCGGAACCAAGCCTGGCACGAGGCACTGGCTGCTGGCTACGCTGGGGCAGAACTCGAGCGCCCGGGTTTGCTGCCGCCGCGCGCTCCTGGAGAGGGCCCCCCGGCTGGCGAGGCTGGCGGCGACGACCTGGACGGCGACGGGAGGCGCCCCGCGGACGTCTTCGTCCCGCGGTGGCGAGGCGGCGCGCCGGCGGCGTGGGATTTCGCTGTGACCTCGGGCCTCCGCGCGGACTTACTCGCGGCTTCTGCCGCTGAGGGCGGCGGCGACGCAGCGGCGACCCGCTACGAGGAGCAGAAGCGCTTGCACTTGGACACGCAGCGCAAATGCTCAGAGGCCGGCCTGACGTTCATACCGATGGTCTGCGAGGCCCACGGCGGCGGTTGGGGCCGCGAGGCGCGACGCGCCTTTGCGGTGCTCGCAAAGCGCGCGGCCGACGCTACTGGAGACGACGCCGCGCTCGCGGCCGATCAGCTTGCCCAGCGGTTTTCGATTTCCCTGCACAGGGAAAATGCGCGGGCAGTGCTGCGGCGCCTCCAGCCGCGAGCGGGCGCGACGGCCGAGCGGTTAGCCGCGGCCAACGCAGCCGCCACGGCGGATGCTGTGTGAACCACCCCCTGCCCGCCTTCGCCGTCGACCCCGCCCGCTTTTCCCGACGCCCCGCCTGACCCCAAACGGCCAGCAACCGCCACGACGACCACGACGATCCCTTGAACCACGACGACCCACGACGACCCACGACTTCCACCGACGTCACTCGCCCCCTCCGCCCCCCGCCCGCCCCTGCTGCCTTGCTGCCTTTGCCGCCCTCCCTCTCCTCCTGCATGTTGGCGCCTGCTAGTTAGTTGTGTTCTTCTTCCTCCTGCTCCTCCTTCTCCTCCTGCCGGGCGCTCGCCGGCGCTGGTGTGCAGGACTGGGGCGGGGCCAGCACTGTACCTACGGGAGGTGCCCCCAGTTGTTTTCCTCCGCATCTTAGCTCTTGTTCCTCCTCCTCCTCCTCCTCCTCCTCCTCCTCCTCCTCCTCCTTTGGACCTGCCCAGCCTAGGGGGCTGGCTTGGCAGATGTTGGTTTTCCAGTCTGGCATTGGGGCCTTCTGACGGAGGCGGCCAGCATGCCTGCACGCATGCCTGTAGCAGCATTCGGCTCGCGGTTCTCTGTGAGCGGCGTGGCAGCGCTGCCGCTCCTAGACGGTCGGCAAGTTCTGTTTCAGAGCAAGACGCGCTGACCATATCGATGGCCAAACTGGTGGTGGTGGAGAACTTCCTCACTCCCCATGCTCGGCCTAAGACTGGCAAAGTAGTGTCGGGACGAGCGGCAGCATTGAAGGGGCCCTGGGACACACAAATAAATACACACAAATAAAAATATTCCCCATATAATCCCATATATTCTGGGTTTTGTATTCCCTCCCACTTCCCATATTTTCCCATATTTTCCTGGGGATCGACGATTAATTGTGTCGGTGTGTTTTTTCCCCTCCTCAAGCATGGCCGTCTGTGAACGCTGGTCTGTGGCTCCGCCACCAGGCCCACCGCTCCGGAGACGAGCACCCAGGGGAGGGCCAGCGGAGTAGCCCGAGCGGGCGGTGAACGTGTGAAATAAGTGGACTGGGACCCGCACGTCTCCATGAAAGCCGTGCAGTCGGGGCGCTGACCTAAGGATCCCTAAATAAGGAACGAGGCCCCTTTTTCCAAAAGTCAAAACTCGATTTCCCACCGAAACCCTAAGAAAAAACCAAAGGCGAACTGCAGAACAACTAAGGAACACCGAGCCCCTCCCCAACGAAAAGGGTTCCTTCTTCAGGGCCCCGACTGTAGTCGATGAGCGCGTTGCGCAACCCACACCCGACCATTCACGATGAACTGCAAAGAGTATCGCGCAACACAGTTCGCACAACCTGCGCGGAGGAGCTCCTGCAACGAGAGATAGAGGCATACACTGGTATGCATAGTTGGACGAGCAGAGGACTCAACAAGGCATGGATATGAAGTGTGTGGTTGGACAACTCTCCATGGTCATTCGAAGGATGCGTGAGCGGGAGAATGCAGGATGCCGTTGGGGCCGCAAAGCGAGACAAAGAAACGATGGAGCTGAACATAAGGAGATAAGAAATACTGACGATGAAACTGCGCGAGCTTGAATGACAACAGTGTCTGCGAAATGAGTTTGCTACGAAGCCGAGCAGGACCCAATCGGAATGAGGGATTACCCTGGAATTGAACAGTGGAGTCCCAGAAGCTTGCGACATCCACAGTCCAATGGCAAGGTATAAGACTGAAAGGTGGCAGAGGAAGGGCACTTTTTAGTCATTAACGCAAGCAGTACGTGGCCACACTTAGTGTTACACTCAGTTCGGAATCTCGCATCCGACAGGCAGGTGATCGCTGCCGAGATCCTTCACGGCATGGAAGATGCCCGAGTCCGCGCGTGCGGCCATGTCCATCTCTTCTGAAGTTGACACCTGTGGAGGGGCCCTGGGACACACAAATACATAGACACATATAAGAGAATTCCCCAAATGTTCCTATATGTTCTGGGTTTTTGTCTTCCCCCCCTTCCCATATTTTCCCATCTTTCCTGGGGAGTCGACAATTAATTCTGTCGGTGTGTGTTTTCCCCTCCTGAACCTTCAGGGCACGAAACTCTTTGGACTCCTTGCCCTTGCCGGCGTCGGCGCTGGCGGACCCCGCGAAGACGAAGTCGATGACCATGGAGGACCCTGCGCGCGTGCAGCGCATCCCCTCGTGGTGGGAAGCCTGGCGCAGATCGCCACCATCGGCCACCTCTCGCAAGGGCGGGGCTACCCGTCGCTCATTTCTAATCGTGCTCATTTCTAGCTTTGCTCGTTTCTACTTGTTCCTGGCCCCCTAGTGGCCAGGAAGAGGCCCGGGATAGAACAATCAGAAATCAAAGGATCTTGGCCCCCCAAAAAAATCGAAGAACTTCCGAAGAATTAGAAATGAACGCTGTGTACTCTTGGGTCGGGTATCTCCCCCCACAAGGGGGATCTTGGACGCGCTCCTCCACAATGCTCAGGAATTTGCTCAAAAACATGCTCCCCGGAGCCTATGTTTTAACTACTCTTCTACATTCCTCCTGTCGAGGGACGGGCCCGACTCAATGCCAGGGCGGGGCGGGGCTGCTCGAAGGGCCGCCAGGACACACAAATAAATACACACAAATAAAAGGATTCCCCATATGTTCCTGTATTTTCTGGGTTTCTGTCTTCCCCCCCACTCCCCATATTTTCCCCTATTTTCCTGGGGGTCGACGATGAATTGTGTCTGTGTGTTTTTTTTTTTCCTCCTGACTGCTCGAGGGGAGGTGGGCAGGATCGACTCTCCCAGGGCTGCGATCTTTTTTTTTCCGGCACCGCCGTAGCCAGCGGCAAGCCGCCGGGCGGCGGGGCCGAAGCGCCGGCGGAACGCGGCAGACTTCGCACGCCCCTCCTTCCCCCACGGTGAGCGCTTTTTGTGGGACGCACATGGACATACTAGTACTATATGTCCTCCGTGGAGGCGCGCGTCCGACCCGAACATATAGTATACCCATCTTGTAGTATACCGTTTCCCGAGCGGTGTGGCCAGAAAGCGCCCGCCACGACGCATATACTATAAGATTTCTCGGTGCGCGCGTCGCCCCTGGGGGGGCGACGCACATATAGTATAAGTATGTTGGGGTGTTGCCGATTTTGATTCGGCGTGTGTGCATTGGGCGGACAAAGGGGGGGGGCACCCTGACCTTCCAGGGAGCTATTTTTTGGCACCGGAGGCCTAAAAACCTACAAAACTGAACGAAACAGCCTGAAACCAAGACGCAGAATAGCTCTGGGATAGGTTTTTAGGTCGGGTGCTATTTTTTAGCCCTCCTGGAAAGTCAGGGCAGGGGGGGGGAGTCTGGCTCGGGACCTCTCCTCAGCACGACCGTGTGCAGCAGTGCGTCCTGTGGGGGAGGCTCCACCTGTTCGAGACAGGCGCCAACAAACAGCCAAGATCCCCCCAGGGGGTTGGGGGCCCGCGCCGATCGGCCAAACGATGAATAAAAAACAATCACTATCCCATCTTGTGCCCGACCCGATCTTGGCCCACTGAACTGCAAGACTGTGGGGGACGGGCGGGGTGACCTGTGCAGGCATTCAGGACCCGCCGCCGCCCTCACCATCCCCAGACCAACATGTCGGCATGTCCTCCTCCCCCTCGTCCTCCTCCTCGTCTTCCCCCTCCTCCCCCTCCTGCTCCCCCTTCACATCCCCCTCTTCCTCCCCATCTCCCTCCCCCTTCTGCCCCTCTTCCTCCTCCTCCTCCTCCTCCTCCTCCTCCTCCTCCTCCTCCTCCTACTCCTCATCCTCCGGGTTATTCGATCACACGGGCCTCACACAGCAAGTGAACTCTTCCGGCGTCGTCGAACCGGGCAACTGGTGGTTCGGGTGCGGGGGCAGGTTCTACTTTGGGTCGCCGCAGAGGAGGCTGCACAGCACGCACGCCCTCGCACTGCCAGAAATCCTCATCACCATCATCACCATCACCATCACCATCACCATCACCATCACCATCACCATCACCATCACCATCACCATCACCATCACCATCACCATCACCACCACCACCACCACCACCACCACCATCATCATCATCATCATCATCATCATCATCATCATCATCATCATCATCATCATCATCATCATCATTCATCATGTTCATGTTCATGTTCATGTTCATGTTCATGGTCATGGTCATGTTCATGTTCATCCTCATCCTCATCCTCATCCTCATCATCATCATCATCATCATCATCATCATCATCATCATCATCATCATCATCATCATCATCATCGTCATCACCATCACCATCATCAACATCTAAGATATCATAGCTAGAGTAGTCGACGTCCTTGTGAACATCATCATCGCCCTCCAACTCATGAGCATCCCCATCATCATCGTCTTCAACATTGCCGCCGTCGTGCCTAAAACAGGGCTAGGATCGGGATAAATCGCTCCAGAGCGTTCCGGAGCGCTCTCAGAGCGTTCCGGATCGCTCTGGAGCGGCCGCAGCGCCCAATACATCCTCCAAACCCGCCGATTCTCAGAGATTTCGAGTTATCCCGATCCGATTTCGTCCCGATTTTCGCGTCGTTTTGCAGATCTCCTCCGTCGTCCCGTACACGAACTCCTCCTGCAGGGTGTTGAAGTCGCCCCCCACGAGCACCGTGCAGCCCTGCCCGGCCGCCCGCAGCCGCTGCACCAGCGACGACAGGTGCCTCAGCAGCGCCCGCAGCTGCTCCGCACGCAGCCTTCGCGAGAACAGTCCGACCCAGATGGCTCATTGCAATACAGTCGAGGCGTTGACCTAAGGAACCCTAAATAGGGAACGAGGCCCCTATGTTCCATAGGTTGAACTTCGATTTCGTATCGAAAACCTATGGCAAATCCACGGCAAGCTGCGCAACAATGAAGGAACATGGAGCCCCTCCCCAACGAAAAGGGTTCCTTCTTCAGGGCCCCGACAGTACGTCCGGAACCAAGACATAAGAACATCCTGCAAGAACACAAAACCCTCCGCCGGGCCAAACTGAAGAACGCTCGAGGGTACCATCCCCCCCCCAGGACGCGCAGGACCGTCCAACAAACACGAAGAACATGAGGGTACCCTCCCCGAGCCGACCTCGATCTGATACCTCGGTCCGACCGTAGCAGAAGCCTCCCAAATAGGGTCCTGAGCAGATGGGGTCGGAGGATCGCTCCGCATCGCCGATGCATCGGCGACGTCGGCCATGCGTCGGTGCCGTCGGCGTGGAGAAATTCGGTCCCCACATCGCGACGCAGAAAGTCAAGAAAAAGACACATGCAGTAAGAAACCTTGCTTTAGTAGAAAAGCAAGGGCGGCATAAACATACACTTTTGGCGGTCCGCGCGGATGTCGTGGCTCTGCGCTGGACCCCCCCCCCCTCTCTGGCGCGCGGAGCGAGCCAAGGGCGGCGCCGCAGGCGCCGCCGGGGGGGGCCCAGCGCGGATCCGAAAAATCCGCGCGAAGCGCCAAGAGTTTTATGCTTAGGGCGTTGTTTTTGCTTGATACCATAAACCGAAAGGCACGCTCGTCTTCGAGCTGTGAGGGTGCCAACCTCTTTCTGCGTGCTCGTTTAGCTTCCCGCTCTTTTTTTCCCTGCGGGGGCGCGGCGGGGCCCGAGTCGCGCCCGTCGTCGTTCGTCACGCGTTAACCGTTTATGCCTATGCTTGCGTTTGATTTGAAAGTTGTGGCCTAGGACCTGGGCCAGGGGCCCATGGGGCCCCAATCAATGTCGGACAAATCGCCGGGTCCAGAACATCGGGGGCCCAAGAGCCGTGGACCAGCAGCGCGGCGGCAGCTGCGCAGTGGGGTTCCCAACATGCTCCAGGGCCTCTGGGCGTCTCCGGGGCCAGCGGGGGATAGTGAACTTCCGGGACGGGCACCTGCTGGCGGGCCAGTGACTTCCAAAGAGGCCCCAGGACATGCAAATTACTACGCGCAGGTCCAGGGATTCCCATGTCTTCCTGTATCTTCTGGGTTTTCGTTTTCCCCCCCGCTTCCACTGTTTTCCAATACTTTTTCTTTGGGATCGACGAATGCTTGTGTCTGTGTGATTTTTCCCCTCCTGGTAATTACTTATTCGACGTGCTTGCGTCAAACCCCCCAACGCCAACCCGCCAGTCGGCCAGACCACCCTTTCGGCTCCAACCCCACGTGCATCGCACCGAATCCATCCTCTGTAGGATCCACACACCCGAAACGTCCCGCATTCCTACCTCCCCACTCGGGCGCACACTAATATAGACCACAGATCCTGGAGGGTACCCCCCGGAACAAGATGCCAGAGCCGCCTGCAGGAACCGTCGCTGATCCGCGCGCCTTCGTCCATGTTTGCGCTTCCACGACCCACGCGATACGCCTTCCCAGCGCTCATAACCGATGTTCCCAAGTGACGTTCTCCCCGGGTGCGTTCTCATCGGCGGATGAGGAGGAGGAGGAGGACGAAGAGGAAGAGGAGGAAGAGGAGGAGAAGGAGGAGGAGGGGGAGGAGGAGGAGGATGAGGAGGAGGAGGAGGAGGAGGAGGGGGAGGAGGAGGAGGAGGAGGAGGAGGAGGGATCAAAGATGAGGCCCCGAGGGGCGCGGTCCTGAGGATGCGCCCCCGTGCCGTGAGTCAGGAGCTGAAGCCCCTCGGGTCCCCTGTGCTCCTCAGTCCTCAGCCCGCAGGGTTGCAGTAACCCGGTCCTTGCGTTTACCAAATGATGTTTTGTCTCGCTTTGATCCGGCGGCGCAATTTGATACATCCGCTTCTCGCTTCAGTAAACCTTCGACTCTGTTTCAATAAGTTGTTGCAAGAATGCGCGGCCACTTATTACCATGACCTGTGTTGGTCAGCGAGCGGATCCCCGGCGCTTCCCGCATGGCCTATCGGAGCCACGAGCAGCCCAGAACGGGCCAGGAGGGCCCCCGGGACAGGCACGGTGGCGGGAGGGGCCGAAGGCCAGCACGCAGGAAGTGCATCACATGTTGCCCTCCCTCCTCCTCCCTCCTCCTCCCTCCTCCTCCCTCCTCCTCCCTCCTCCTCCCTCCTCCTCCCTCCTCCCTCCTCCTCCTCCCTCCTCCCTCCTCCTCCCTCAACTGATGGATGGGAGGGCCCCATCCATCAGTTGACGGCGCGCACAGAGGGGCAGGGGAAGGGGGAAGGCCACTTCGAAGGAGGCCGCTTCCGAGAAGGCGCGGCTCCCCCCCCCCCTACGCTTGCGTCGGGCGTGTCCCCCTACAGGGAGATCTTGGACGAAAAAGAAAGCGTACTAAAAGAATGTCCCCCAATGGGCAAACAAAAATCAAAACGTCCTCCCCAGACTATTTGCTTCACGACCTTTGAACGTTCCTCCTCCAGAGGCACAAGCCCGACGGAACCCTACGCCGGACCCCCCTCTGCGCCTGGCGCCTACGCCTCGGGCTCCGGGCGCCCCGGAGCTCTCTCGGCGAGGCGCCCATGGCTGGGTGCCCGCGGGCGCCTGGAGGCCGGAGCACCGCCTCGAGGGCCCACGAGCACCCCCGAGAGCCAGCCAAGGCCCCCCCCCCCTGCCCCGACCTTCCAGAGAGCTATTGTTTAGCACTGGAGACGTAAAAACCTAAAACACGGAACGAAACAGCCTACAACCAGGACGTAGAATAGCTCTGGGATACGTGTGTTTCGGTCGGGTGCTATTTTCTAGCCCTCCTGGAAGGTCAGGGTGCGCGAGGGGCCCCACCTCCGGCCCGCCCCTCTGGCCAGGAGGGCCCCGCGGCGGCCCCGCCCCGGCGCGGGGCCCCGGCGCGGGCGACAAGCCGCGGGGGGGCGGCAGCATCGGTGCGGCGGGCTCTTGGCGTGACGACCCCAGCGACTCGCCACGGTCTCTGGCGCCGCGTGCAGCGTTCGCCTTGGACCTGCTGACGGCTCCTCGATCGCCCGATCGGTCCATGCCCGCCGCCGAGTCGGGGCCACCAGCGGCGTTCGGTCTTCCCAGAACTCCGACGCCGAATCATCTTCACGATGTGAACCCCCGAATGTCTCGACCCCTTAGGCCCTTCCCTGGGACCCCTTCCCTGGGACTGGAGTTTCATCCGGAATCGTCTTCTGGACATGGCCCGGTGAGAGCTGTCTTCTTGACATCGTCGTGATTTCCGCTCGCAACGATGAGGAGGTGGGGTGGAACGCCCGCGGAGGGGTCGCTGCCGCGTCGGGGTCGCTACCGCGTCGGCACGACACGGACCTGGGATGTAACTAAGCATCGGCCCGTCCTCTCTCCTCTCTCCTCTGAGAGCCTTGCGCCGTAGGTGTTGCTCGGGGGCGCGCTCTCCAGGTGCACAGCGATCACAATGAAGAGAGAGGCGTCGTTCCGTCTTCTGAGCAGCGCCACGCAGGAGGACTTGGGCGTCACCGACATCATGGTGCCAAGCTTCACCCAGGAGTCGACCTCTATCGCATCCACACTTGGGCGGACGGGAACCCCCTGGAACTCCTCGAGCCACTCGAACTCCTCCGAGTCGAAGAAGACCACGGCGGTACCCGCACCCCACACGGCCCGGTACCTCTCGGCGGGCAGCGGAAGCAGCCGCCACTGGCCGTCGTACTCGACCGCGGTGATGAGCTGAGGCATCACGTCCTTTCGGGAGACCCTCGCTGACGCGACAGTCCAGTACCACTCTTTCCCTCCAGGTGCCCCCTCGCGGGGATTCGAGAGAGCCTGGGGAAGGGGCGGAGCATGGGTTTGATCAGATGGCCACTCTCGGGAGGCCCTTTTCTGGGCACGGCGTAAGATGATACAGGCAGGGGAGACCAGAACCTGGCGATGCTACCTTTTGATGTTGACCAGAGTGGACCCCATGCAGTCATTCCTTGCAGTCCCTGCGGTGCAACCCTGGGTTATACAATCCATATGGTGTAATCTAGGTGGTGCGCAGCATGTGGCGCAAAGCAACGCAAAGCAATGCAGTGCAAATGAATACAACGCAGTGCAATACAATGCAACGCAAAGAGCAACACGGAGCAACATAACACAAGGCAGCGCGATGCAATGCGCAGAGCAACGCAACAGCACACAAAGCCGTGCGAGGCAATGCAGAGCTGCAAGGCAAGCCAAGCCAATACATAACAGCGCAGACCAATGCAAAACTCAGCGCCCATCAAACGGGGACTCCACTAACGGGTACTTTGGCCAGTGACCCAGCGAACCCAGCCCTTCCCGATGTGGGCAACGCTGCGTTGCCAAAAAGAGGCCCGAAAGTGGCAACTTTCGGCAAAATTGCAAAGTACCCGTTAGTAAGTACCCGTTACGGTGCCGTTGAAAAACACCGCGGCGCACGGCGGTGGCGGCCGGCAGCGACGGGCGGCGACCCGCGGCAGCAGGCAGGCCAGACCAGCACCGGGGGCCAGTGCAAGAGGGTGGCGACGGACGGAGAGGCGGCGGGCGGCGGCGGGCGGCCGCGGGCCGGGCAGACCGCCACGGAGGCTCCTCCTCCTCCTCCTCCTCCTCCTCCTCCTCCTCCTCCTCCTCCTCCTCCTCCTCCTCCTCCTCATCCTTCTCAGTGCAGGTGGCGGCGACGGACAGCGGCGACGGCCGGCCACGAGCCAGCCGGATCGCCACCAGAGCTTCGTTGCCTCTGGAGCGAAAGGAAAACCCCCGAGAGCAAGCACTGCACGGGGAAAAAAGCAGGCGCTTTCTGGGGAGTGGCCGAGGAGGACAGCGGCGGCCGCAACGGCGCCGACACCAGCGACGACGACCACAAGGTTGACGGCGACTGCGGAGACGAAGGCGACCACAAGACCGACGCGGCGAAAGCGCGTGGGAGGCATAAGGCGAACACCCACCGAAGGAAATTGCGCTCACGACGACAGCGGGCACGACGGCGACGACGACGATGACTGCGACAACGGCGGCGGCGGCTGCGACGACGACGTCGGCAATGCTAACCATACCATGTCCGTGGGCACCGAAAATAAAATGGTCAACCGTGCAGTAACCCATTTGTGCACGACGGTTTGAGAGGCTATAGAGCCCGATTGAAGAACTCTCTAACCAGAATGGCCTGATGAGGCCAAATTCGCAACACAAACAGATAATAGGGGCGATGGCACAGTGAACCTCCCGGGAGGAGCTGAAACCTGAGTTTCTAGTTTGTGTAGCGAAGGCCCCCGGATCCTTCACTTTGCGGCAGAACTTTGCATGCCGGGCCGTCAGTGTTGCCTCCGTGAGCCACAGCTCGACTGCCTGAAGGACGCGAGGAAAGATAATGCCCGCACGCGCCTCTGCGTCTTTTGGAACTGCAGGAACACCGGCGAAGCTGCGAATGGCTAGCTCAGCGGCCGCATTGTCTATTGAGTGTCTGCACATCGCGATGAGCAACCAATGCATCGCAGAATGAAGCGTCAGCGATTGGATTCGAATAATATCGCCCTTGTTGTCTTGAACGACGGAGACAAGAGATCTAGGTTGTGATATCCTTGCAGAAATCATTGATGAGACAACCATTGAAACGCCTTTCCGAATGTTTGTTAGCTTTCTTGAGGCGCTCCTTTTAAGACCTCCTGTGAAGGCCTCCTCCTCGTAACCAAAAGTGATGAAACGAGTCAACGCGTCATCCGTTTTCTTCTCTGTAACACCCTCCTGACGCTTGAATATCTCAACGCTCGAAGACCACTTACTCCATATGTTGTCCTGCCTCTTCCACACCTTCTGGTCGACATCGCTGCGCTCCCACGTGAGGGAGCCGCTGGGCGAGAAGGCGTTCTCTTTCATTCGACGGAGCTGCCTCCTGACGTCCTCTGTCGCCGGGAGGAGCTCCATCTCTCGCTCGAACTGCGGCACCGTCCAGTGGTTTGACGACGAGGGCGGCTTGGAGTTGTCCATCAGCGTGGTGCGCAAGAATAGGCAGCGAAGCGTGTTCGCTAGGTCAGGCTCATCTCCAGGGGATGAGGTCCCCAATCGCACCTCCCCGCCCAAGGGATGATACAATAGGGAGTAGACCAAGTCGATGAACGAGAAAAACAGGCTGCACGACGAGATCCGATAAACCCCACATCGGGCCAACAGGATGCGAGTCTCCCCGAGAACGGAGCCTCGGAAGCTGAGATCCTTGACTGAAACTACGACTGCATCCCCCCTCATCTATAATGTCCCACCTGGTCGTCTCCTACGTTCTACCGTTGCTTGCCCCGCTAAGTACTCTTAGCGGCCCTGCAAGCATTGCACAATCTCCTGACGTAATTAGTGCTCCTGTTCAGGCGTACGATTGCACAGGACGCCCAGACATTGTTCAAGGATCTCAGACCTTGCCGAAACGGACCTCCAGAACTTCAATGGGGTTGAGATTTGCCCTGGCGCACAGAGACGAGCCTCTTGTTCCCAAGGCTGTCCCAAGAAGGTCCATGTCAGTCTACTCCGAAGGCGCCCAGGATTGCCAAGCGCCATGCATCTCCTGATCCCCCTGGCCCTCTGGGCAGAGATGGTTTTCAAAGTAGTTACCCCTCCAGACCAAAACCTCCTTCCGCAAAAAGGGGGCCGTGAGCAGCTAGAGCGTCGAAGATCGACACCGGTGACTCCAAGCTGGTCCCAAATAGCCGAACGTGGCCTTCCGCCCCATGCAAAATGGACGAACTTCGCCCCTGCTGGCATTTAGCATGGATCCGCGAGGCCCCGAGTCGGGAATGCCACCCCACGAGGCCAACATCGCCAACACACACACCATTGCCCCGACGGCAGGAGCCCGCATGATAATCTCTGCAGTTTACATGAGAACCTTCGTCGTCGTCGTCCTTGTGCTTACGGTTGCGGCTGTGGAAGCCCTTTTCATGCCTCCGGCCTCCTCCTCCTCCTCCTCCTCCTCCTCCTCCTCCTCCTCCTCATCCTTATCCCTCCATCCTCCCACTGGCTTATCCTGCTCCTACCGGTTCCTCCTGCGCCTCCTCGTGCCGCTGTTACCTGCCTCCTTATTATTTCTGCCTCTTCTTACTCCTGCCCCCTCCGCCTCCACCTGACTTCTCCGCCTCCTGCCTCGTCCTCCTCCTCGTGCCAATCCCACCAGCCCTCTGGGCGTCGGTGGTTTAGAGAGTTTCCTCTTCCACCCCTCCTTCCCCTTCGGGCAGGCGTTTACCCCTCCCCCTACCCCTTCCCCATGGACCTGGAGGGGGGGGGGGGTCGCGAGTCGTCAGGGCGTCCAAAACGGCCTCGGCTGGAAGCCAAAATCATTGATTTTGCCAAGGTTTTGGCCCCCTCTTGGCCTTCTGATGGGGCGGCTCTAAACCGTACACCCCCCTTGTTTGATCGATCTCCTTCGAGATGGCCTCAAGAGCGCTCCAAAGGCTCCCAGGGGTGCCCCAAGAGGGCCCCAAGCGGTGGCCTGGAAGCCCCAAGATAGGAGGAAAACAAACCTACCTCGCTTTTGACCACCCTCGCTTCCAAGAGATACCAAACGATGCCAAACTACGGCCTGTACTGGTCAGGCCGCCTGACAAGGAGGCGCGTGGTATGGCTTGGTTTTGTCTGGAAGCGAAAGCGGGGGAGGTTATTCACGCTCTGACAAGAGGCCCCCAGGAGGCCCCCAGTATGCCCCCAAGAGTCCCCAGAGATACCTCCAAGAGACCTCCAAGAGGCCCCAAGAGGCCCCTAGAGGCACCCCAAGACGCCCCAAGAGGCCTCGGCGACAATGCCAAAATCGCTGATAATACTAAGGTTTTGGCTACATGTTGGCCTCCTGGAAGGGGGCACTGCTTCAGATGACTTCAAGAGGCGCCTGGGAAAGCCAACGATGATCTCGAAATTGGCTCAAGATATCCCAAGATTCCTCAAGATGGCGCCCACGATGCTCCAAGAGGCCCCAAGACCGCTCCGAGACGGCTCCAAGTGGCCAGAGAGCTCCCCCAGGAGGCCCCGAAGAGGCCAACACCCTTGTAAAACCTTCGGAACATCAATGTGTTTGGCTTTCTCGCCGAGGCCTCAAGATGGTTCCAAGATGACCCAAGAGGGCTCCAAGAGCGCTCCCAAGGCTCCCAAGAGCGCTCCAAGAGGGCCCCAAGAGGCGTCCAGGAGGCCCCAGGAGGCCTCAACAGGCGCCCAAGAGCCCTCCAAGAGGCTCCCAAGAGACCCCCAGGATGCCCCACGAAACTCTCCGAGGCACCCAGGACGCTGCAAACGTGCGGGTGCCATTGGAGCTGAATCACCAGGTATGTGAATTGGACCTGTTCGCCACAGGGCGCCCGAGGTCTGGGCTGCGGACCAACATGGGACACGCCTGGCCGAACAAAAAGGCTGAACAACTCCTGAGTGAAACGGCGGGACAGAGCCCCAAAGGGCCAGCGGACAGGGAACCAGAAGCCAAGGAAGTGCAAGCACTCGTGCCGGAACTGGTGCGGGTACCATGGGAGCTGACTCGCCAGGTACGTAGGAGGACCTTGTCGCCACACGGCGCCAGAGGTCGGTGCGCCACAGGCGTGGCGAAGCGCGGGGCCACATGATAGCCCAGCAAGTGACAGCGGACCGACGGGGGACGCGCAAGTCCGATCAAGAAGGCTGAACTACTCCTGAATGAACCGGCGGCCATAACCCCAGAGGGCCAGCAGCACTGACAGACACGGCCAACTGAAGCAATGACTGAGGACCAGATGCCAGGGAAGTGCACACACTCACGCTGGAACTGGACCAGGCGCAAGTCCCCAGAGCGCCTCAAGGCCGCAACCGACTCCACGGAGCCGAGACAGAGAGGCGTGAACCGAAGACGTCACGCAGAGGGCCAGTGCCAGGGAGACCGAGCCAGGCCGTGGCCAGGTCCGGGCACTTGCCAGGGTGAGAACAACTACAGCAACGGCCAGGGCCGCAAGGCACGCCGCGCCCCGCCCCAGCTCGGCGCCAGGGGGCCGGGCCCCGCGGGCGGGGTGGCCGAGCCAAGTGCCGTGCTGGGGCCGACATGTGACGACACTGGGCCAGCAGCGGGGGGCTGTAACCCGCTGCGGTCAGGCGCGGTGAAGGCCAAGGTGAGCACAGGGCCGCAAGCACTGAGGGCGGCGGTAAGACGGAGCCCAGGCGCTCGAGACAAGAGGCGTGAGCCGGAGACGTCACGCAGAGGGGCCAGTGCCAAGGAGACCGAGCCAGGCCGTGGCCAGGTCCGGGCAATGGCCAGGGCGAAAACAACTACAGCCAACGGCCGGGGCCGCGAGGCACGTCGCCCCCGCCCCAGCGGGGGCCTGCGTACCCAGTATTGACGGCGCCAGGGGGCCCGGCCCCCAAGGGCGGGGAGGCCGAGCCAGGCGCCGAGCTGGGGCCGTCACCGGACGACACTGGACCAGCAACAGGGGGCTGCAACCCAGGTGCGGTGAACCCAGAGTGAGAACTGCTACAGCAGACGGGCAGGCCGCGCATCGGCACTTCGCGCCTCGCCCCAGCCACGGCATCGCGCCAAGTATTGACAGCGCCAGGGGCCTGTGCCACAAGGGCGGGGGGCTGGCCAAGCGCTGTGTGGTGACCGGGCCCGGTTGTGAGGGGCTGGAGAGATAGGGGCACTCATGGGCGACTGCGGCAAAAGGCTGCACGACCCCAACATGAAAACTTTCATCTTTGCAGCAACTGAGGGAGTCCTCCAGCGGCGGGATTTTCTGCGCTGGGAGCACTGCCAGGGAAGTGGCTAACGGTCGCACTGTCTGTGAGAGGAGCGGAACTGAAGTGACTAACGGTAGCCCTCACTGGAACGTCGGCTTGATTCTAAAGTATACCGGGCGATCGATCGAAGCCCCCGCCGCGCGGGCGCCCGTCAGCCGGTCTCCAGGGGGGGGGGGGGGGCGATGTGCTGCCTGCGGCAGACGACCGCGTGTTCACTCTCGGGCACTCCCTGAAGACCGCTGCACCACGCGGCCGCACTTTCCGATGCACACTCCTGCGGCTCTAACCTGTGAGGCACGTCTCCGAGCGCGGGCGCGCCATCTGTAGCGCACCCACCTGCCGCTACGGCACTGCATCCAGGAAGGGGCGAGCTCTCGAGCGCCTATCTGGCCTCCACCGCACTGCTGCCCCAAGGACGCTGGCAGGAGTGAGGAGCCGCATGGATGTCCGCTTGCCGGCCTCCAAGAGGAGGAGGGGGCGACGAGCTGAGGCTGACGACGGCGTGCTCACTCTCGCGCTCTTCCTGAAGAATGCTGCAGCCAACGGCCGCACTTTCCAATGCACGCTCCTGAGACTCTACATTGTGGGGGAAGCCTCCGAGAACGGGCGCGCCCTCAGCATCGCTCCCAACTGTCGCTGGGGCCCTGTGTCCAGGAGGGGGCGCGCTGTCGAGCGCCTCTCCAGCCTCCACCGCGCTGCTGCCCCAAGGACTCTGATAGGCGTGAGAAACCGCTGGGTGCCTGGCTGCCCGTCTCCAGAAGGGGGGGGGGGCGACATGCTGCGGCGGACGACCACCTGTTCACTCTCGAGCACTCCGTGGACACTGCTGCAGCTAACGGCCACACTTTCCGATACACACCCCCGAGGCTCATTTTTGTGAGGAACGTCTCAAAGCGCGGCGGCCGCCGTCGCATGCGCTGCTGCCCCAGGGGCGCTGATGGGAGCGACGGGCCGAATGGGGGTCCACCTGCCGGCCTCCGGGAGGAGGCCGGGGCGACGAGCTGTGGCGGGCGACCACGCGTTCGCTCCCGAGCTCCCCCTGAAGACTGCTGCAGCTAGCGGCCGCACGGCAGACGACAACGTGTACACTCTCGAGCTTTCCCTGAAGGCGATGCAGCTAAAGGCCGCGCGTTGCGGAACACACTCCTGAGTCTCTATTGGGTGAGGGGAGTCTCCGAGCGCGGGCGCGCCCTCTGCAGCGCTCCTAACTGTCGCCAGGGTGCTGTCTCCAGGAGGGGGCGCGCTGTCGAGCGCCTCTCCTATAGGAGTGGCGAGAATTATGGGGGTCCGCCTGCCGGTCTCCAGGGGCACTGAAAAAAGTGAGGAGCACTATGGGGGTCCGCCTGCCGGCGCCCAGGAGGGGGAGGGACCGACGCGCTGTGGCAAACGACCACCTGATCAGTCTCGAGCTCTCCCAGAGGACCTTTGCAGCTGAAGGCCGCACTTTCGGAAACAAGTTCCTGAGTGTCTGAATTGGGAGAAGCGTCTACGAGCGCGGGCGCGCCCTCCGCAGCACCCGCAGTTATCGCCACGATACTGTCCCCAGAAGGGAGCGCTCTTTCGACGACATTTGTGGGTTCCTCCGCGAACCAGCCCCAGGGGCGCTGAAAGGAGTGAAGAGTACTATGGGGGTCCGCCCGCCAGTCCCCACGGTGAGGAGAAGTAGATACGCGGTGGTTGACAACCACGTGCTCGGTCTGTGGCGCCCACTCCCAGAGGGCAGTTGCAGCTGAAGGCTGCACTGTCGGAAACAAACTCGTGACTGTCAGAATTGCGAGGAGGAGCGTCTCCGAGCGCGGGCGCGCCCCCAGCAGCACCCCCAATTGTCCCCGTGGCATTATTTCCAGGAGGGGACGCGCTTCGGGCCGCATCTGCAGCCTCCACGCCGACACTGCCCCAATGACGCTGATAGGAGCGAGGAGCAGCCAGGAGAACGATCCGCCTACGACGAGGAGGGGGAGGGACCGGCACGCTGTGGCAGACACCCACATGTTCAGTCTTAAGCTCTCCCAGAGAACTGTCGCAGCTGAAGGCCGTAATTTCGGAAATAAGTTCCTGGCTCTCTACTTTGCGAGGAACGTCTCCGAGCGCGGGCAAGCCCTCTGCAGCGCTGCCAACTATCGCCGCGATGCTGTCTCCAGGAGGGGGCGCTGT